TTCCCTGGAAGCCGCAAATTATAGAACAGCTCCATGTCATTATTTAAATCCCAATCTTAGAATTTACATCACAAACAAAAGGAGCTGGTAGCTGGTGGCTAGCGCCTCTCATCGCACTGTGGAAATGCTCCACCATGACCTGGACTGATATATTCCAGCTTCCAGAGGCTTTATTGTATATATTTTCATGGCTCAAACTTGTGGGGACTTAAGAAAGATCCGAGATGAAGTAGCATCCATTTTTCAGCGGTGCGTGGTTTCACTCATTCAGACAAGGGCTTGATTTTGCATGATTTTGAAGCTTCATTTAATATACTTGGCAATTTCTCTCTGCTGTGTCAATTTACCAGATGGTAGTCATTCCCTAATTCATTGTATTCAGTTTACGCATTCTTAAACCTTTTTTGTGGTACGCAGAATATTTGATCAAAGATATAATGTATTTCCAACAGATGCTGGTCTATTTGTTCTATGCTGTGCCCCTGATGAGCCTCCTCCTCTATGGTCTGATAAGACCAGGCTGCAGCTGGATGCTAGACTGGACTCTCGTCTTTGCTGGAGCCACCGCCCAGGTAAAGTGTTCTTGTCATGTTTTTAAATGTTGTATGAGTAAATTTCCCATGTTTTATTTTTAGAACGAAAGCCTACTCACTCGCTTTCTCTGTCCATCTCCCCCCTCTCTCTCCATCCCTCCCCCTGCGTCCAGGCCCAGTGGTGCCACATCGGCGCATCTCTACACTCCCGCACCCCCTTCACATACCGAGTCCCAGCAGACAAATTGTGGACCGTTATCACCTTCAATGTACTGCTTGCTGTCGTGCCCTCTCTGCTGGCTCTGCGCTGCCACTACAGTCCCGCTTATTTCATGAAACCCGTTCCCAAAGGACAGAGCAATAGCAAAAAGAAGAAAAACTAGACCGCGCAAAAGTCAAGGCTTCTCCAGGTATACATTCTGTCAAGATGACTGCCTCACGAAAAAAACTACTTGTTGCGACACCCAACATGTTCTAGCCCCATACCTGGAGGAAAGTCGCAATCATGTTGCTGCGAGTGGCCCAGTGCAGCACTCCCTTGTCTGGACTGTTGGACCTTGATACGAAGGTCCTTAATGGGGGTGAGGACTGTGATCAGCAAGCACAGCTTTCGGGTGACTCATGCAACACATCCACTTCCTGTCTCTCCTCATCTTCATCTTCAGCAGTTGAGTGAATTAAATAACACCACCATTTTAATTCCAGGATCTAAGGTATCAAAACAATTGTGAACAAAACAGAACCGAATTGAATTCAAAGCGAAAGTGTACAGGAAGGTTCAAGTTAAAAAGATCATGCCACAAATGCAAGAAATGACATACTATTGCAAATTTTAATATTGAAAAATAAAGGTGATGATTATTATGAAATACAATCTGCGCTCAACGTGTTTTTAATTGGAATTTGATTAGTTAGCGGTTCACCGTTGACACGCTAACACTGGCTTGAGTGGCGCTGATCTTTTACCCAATGATGATGTCACAGTGCTCTTCGTGCCGCTCGCTGCTGGCCCATATAACTGATAAGAGGTGAACCCTGGATGGATCATCTGCTATCTATCACGTGACATCATTGTCAGCTTGCGATTGGGAGCAGTTTAAAACAAAAAGCTCCTAAAAAAGTCGAGTTCTTAGCTATTTGGCTATTTCTCCCTATTCTCATTGATAATCATTGAAAATACACAATCATAAATGCTGTATCCTTTTCCTCTTTATTAAGAATGAAACAACAACAGGACGTCATAAGAACACCAAAAAAGGTAGATGACAATTCATTCAAATATCAAAGACCAAAAAAATAAAATAATAATAATCTCCACATTCTAGCCATCAAGTAAATGTAGCCATGCAATGATGGAAGGAAGTTTTAAGCAATTTAGGTACGAGTGAGTGGAGTCAAATAATCTCATTCATATAATCAATCAAGTTGTCAATGCCACTCACTGAGTCACACAGAGTGCTTGAGGCGCATGATCCGATTGGACAAGGTCCAGCTATTGATTAAACATCAGCCAGTAAACACCACAATATGTACAATACTCAAGATTAGAGACAATCAACTGATTCATGTTAATACTGGCTGACCGTATGACATAATACTGGATTAGAAAAAACAAAACAAAACATGTTCCACCAAATAAGTACAAAATAACAGAAGAGCATTTTCACTAGCAAAAGTAATAAATAAAATGTGACAGAAAAGGGAGCAGATATTTAAAAAAAAAAAGCTTGTCAGTAGAAGAAATCGAATTCGCAATGCGTGTGCTTGCACGTACAAAAAAAGAAAAAGCCGAGGGTCACCTTGCTCTCTTGCCTCAATGACGTGTGCTTTGTAACAGAATACTCGATGAGTCATTTTCATATCACAAACCAAAAACATTCCTCTCTTACATGCACGCGCAGACACGCACACACACTCTGCCGCCAGTCTGACCGACTCAAGTTCATGGCGGGCGGGAGAGGGAAAGATTAGGGAGCGTGAGATCTAGTGTTACGGTTAGTGTTCGCGTTGGACCTTAGTTAAAGGAAGTGAGTTTAAAAGTTGGGGAAACAAAAACAAAACATTAAAACAGCCAAAGCCGGTGCAGTTAATGAGATCACCTCTATGTGTGAGAGTAATAAAACCTTACGTACTCGTCAGGAGGGAGAAAGCAGTTAGAAGCAGACCGAGGAAATCACTGCTTTGCTTGCGGGAGCCACCGGAGCCACAAGTAGCACCTCGGCTTTGCAGGCGGCGTGTGATTTGGTTCAGTCGTAGCTGTGCGCGTTCTCTCTGGCCTTGTGGCCCTCGCCGTGCCTCCTGTGGCCGCGACGCTCACGGCGCTCTCGGCGATGATGGCGTCGGTAGCGGTGGGAGCGCCGGGCTGTAAGGCCGTGCGAGTCGGTTAGTAGCAGGAATGGCTAAGGAGTCATACTCTGAAGCGGAATGCAGATTCAACCCCTGTACTTAAGTAAAATTAAAAAAAAAAAAAGGCAGATTCTGGAATGTTCTATCAAACTTTCAGTATGTCCTGACGACAGTTGATGAATAAAATGATTGGTGTGCCTCGAAGAAACCATCATGCCAGAGTGAAAAAAAAACCCCATCCATCCAGAGACAGAGGGCGGTTACACCCCGCGACCTTGCGCTGGCATGTTACCTTGTTACCCCAGAAAAGCACCTTTTATGTAATGGACTTTTACACTCAAACCTTTGGCTTAAATTAAACATTTGATTGTGTCTCAACATTTTCAACAGTAACATTAATATAAGCGGTGCCTTTCTCTGATTGAAAATAAAGGTTTTGTGCTATTATTAACATTGTGCCCATATTTTATCTTCTAGGCGGAAATGTGTTCTTAAAGTACACTATCAAATAAGGTGTTTTTTTTTTTTTTTTTT